ACAGTTTTTCCACCAAAGAAGCTGAATAAAGCTCTGAAAAAGGCTTGAAAACACATCTGGTCTTTGCTCTTCATTTTGAATTCCAAGATTCATGAATATTCAACTATATGCAAAGGAATGCAGGCATCGCGCACTGCACGCCACCGCTGCTTCCCCCAGGAAGATGCTGAAAGCACTGTGTATAAGGATACAATGGCAGGAGGGAACAGTGGAGATTCAGTTAGAAACGTCTGAGCCTCGCTGAGACCAGGAGCCTGTTAAGACAACAAATGTTGGAATTGTTGGATAATCACCTTTATTAGGCCAAGTATGTTACACACAAGGAATTTGTTTCCGGTACAGAACTGAGGCAGCCATCTGTGGTGTCAACTCACACCGATGGCTCTAACCCTCAGGGGCAATTTGGGGGGGTTCAGTGTCTTGCCCAAGGACACTTTGACATGTGGACTGCAGGCACCGTGATTTGAACCTCCAACCCTCCGTTTGGGAGACAACTGCTCTACCCACTGAACAACAGCTGCCCCACGACTAAGGCAGACGTCTCAGAATGTTAATCTCCCCATTACCTTATTTCAATCTCTTCACCCCTCAGATGTCCCAGAATTCATTTCTGGTCCACCACCATCAAAGACATCTGTTCCCTTATTGCTGTGCAGAGGTTTGAGGATTTAAGAGGAAACATGAGCACAGACACTAGAGACCATCCTTGGTAACACAACCCTTCATTAGGAAGCAGTCAGTGATTGGATGCTGCAGCTGACAGGTTGGAGCACGTCTCGTCTCTAAAAACATTTCATCAAGTGCTTGCTCCTTGCATCTTACATGGGCGGGACTAAGATGTGAGGAGAAAATGTAAGGGATGGGAGTGAGAAGACATTTTAAGGTAATGGGAAGCAGCCCTGGTGTACCTGTTTGTTACGGCCGATCCATGAGTAGCACAGTAACGGGGCACTATCCATGTTCAGATCTGTGAGCGGTATGTCTGGACCACACCCAAAGACCCTAAGAAGGCCGAACATAGACAGTTTTGATTTGTCACAGGGGTGACCACCTCGCTCTCCAGGGAGAACTCCAGCACAGCGGCGCTCAGCTGGGGACTGTGTGGCCCAGTGGGAAACACAAGTGAACTGTTACACATACACTTACTCACAGCTGCTTGTGTGGTGACCTATTTCATACAGTACCACACACATGCAAAACCTATTCCCCATTAAACCACGGTAAGAACTGTGAGTGTGTTGGCAGGATATCATCTCATATCGTTTGCCATCCATCACAGCTGGATGTTCTTCCTTTGGGGATGTCCACAGCACCTGGAGAGGAATAATACATTAGGGTTTTTATGAACTCGGTTGCCATGGTTTTTGCTGAAATATCATTATGCTTATGGGTTTTCATATTGTACCGCAACACTATGGGGTATTATAGTGGAGAGGGCTTTCAGCTGAAGATCTGCTCTGTGAACACATGAAGAGATCGCATGGGCCTCAGTGAGAGCAGGAAGACGACTGGTCAACCTGTGTCCCATCATTAGTTTTAATACCATATACAGTATATGTACACACACACATGCATTCTGTGTGAATTTTTTATTCACTCATACTTAAAAGGGAGTTTCATAATTTCACATCATGCCTATTTCAGTTCTGTACTGCAGCTGAAAGTCAATTGATTAGATTCCAGTTGGCACATAATGATCGTTAGGCACATTCTCGGAGCTTAAGAAAACTCTACCCACGATGCACCTCGACAAGCTGCAAAGATCCAGCAGTCATTGCAAAACTGTGTGACACAATGCATTATTTCACATTTTCCACACAGTTTAATCCAGGAAATGCTCTGCGACACACACCGGTTCTTCTCAGACTTGTATGTAGCTCTGCAGAGCCCAGACTTCCGCTGCCATCGTGTTTGGTCATCCTCTCTGAATGAAAAGTCTGTTCTGGACCAGGTGCCGTCCTCTTCCAGTAAAAAGCTACTTGTCTGACAAGCTAGCAGTTACACTCAGTACGGGAGGTATTCAGACCTTCCAACTTTCCATAGTTGGTTTCAGACTCATCATAAAATGGATTCAATTCATTCTTTTCTCATCAGTCTACACACAGTACTCCACAAGGATGAAGTCACAACTGTTTTTTGGAGTGTTTTGTAAATGTATTAAAATAAAAGACTTAAATATCCCATCAACATCAGTATTCAAACCCTTCACTTAGGACTTGGTTAAAGCACCTTTGGCGGCAGCAGCAGCAGCCTCAGATCTCCTTGAGAATGAATCTACAAATTTGGCACCTTTCTTCTGGAATTTTCTTTCTATTGTTCATGGTAGAATCGTTCCAGGTTAGCCAGGTCGGATGGGGGGCGGTGGTGCTCCGCCATGTTCAGGTTGCTCCAGAGATGCTCTGTTGAGTTCAAGTCCAGACTCTGGCTGGGCCGCTCCAGGACTTTCACAGAGTTTTCCTGAAGCCACTCCTGTGTTTGATTGGCCATATGCTTCAGGTCATCGTCTTGTTGAGATGTAAGCCTTAGCCCCGGCCTGAAGTCCTGAGCAGTCTGGAGAAGGTTTTCATTCAGAATTGGTCTATATTTTTCTGGATCCATCCATCCTCTATCCTGACTAGTTTCCCAGTTGCAGCCTGATGGATGGTGTTAGTCAGGTGATGCTCAGGGCCTGGCTTCCTCCACACACACTGCTGGGAACTGTGGCCAAAACGTTCAGTCTCTGTTTCATCAGACCAGGGAACTTCCGCTTCTCATGGTCTGAGATTCCTTCAGGGGTCTTTTTCATAACTCTGAGGTTTGGTTTATACCATCTTGTGGCTTGTGGCACCAAAGACTTCAGGTTTTAATTGTTCTTTTTCATCATCAAATTTGTTCTCTCTGCTTTTATTACCGGAGACTTTTTATTGTTTTTTTTTTTTACACTCTCCTGACATTGTTGCCACACAGAGACCTCTGCAACCAGGAGCTGAAACAGTATGATACTGATAAACAGGAGCAACTGAGGGTTTTAATGTCATGAATGAATTCAGAGCAATAGTAGTGTCTGTCTTAGTTCCAGGCCTTAACGCTCAGCTCTGATCTTTGTGTGTTACTGCTTCCCATCCGTGTGTGTCAGTGCCATGTACCCGGCTCTGGTGTGAACACCACTGAGCTCCTAAACTGCCACACATGCACAGTTGTAACTGAAATGTGAGCCATGTGCACACAAGAATAACAACCAGATCGTGTGTGCAACGGTCAAATGGCCCAGTTTCCTCCCAAACTGCTGGGTCATATGTTAATTACAGTTTAGCCCGATCAGAAGCTTCTCCACAAAAGTCCACCACATGTGTCCTGGTCTCTCCACTGACCTCGTCGCTGTTGTCACTCTCCTCCATGTTTATTTTTACCGGACTGAGGGGCCGAATGATGATGACAGGCTGTATGTGCAGAGGAGGGGACGTTAAAGCAGCCACATGAATCTGTTACTCAGTACCTCTCAAACCTCTTGCCTCTAGTTTCAACATCTTGAACTGTAGAACAGAAAAATTAGGACTCCTGATGTTTGTCCTCTTTGTTTCTTACAGAAGATGAAGGACAGGTTTGTCTGTGTGTCGTCAGGAGGAGAGGAGGATGCTGAACTCATCGCCGAGAAAATGTAGGACTCGTTTTCCTCCTCATCTTTGCTTTTCTTTCTTCAGTTACGTTTGTCTCTTGTTACTTTGTCCTCTCTCTCCTTTGTTTTTGACTTGTCTTTCATTGTCTCCTGTTGTGTTACCTCAACCTCTACTCTTCATGCATTTTCCTCTGCTTGCTTCTTTTTATCCTCTCCCTCTTCTGCTTTCATTTCTGTCCTCTTTTCCCTCTTGTTTAAATCTGCATCTTTCTCCTCTTCTGATTGTTACTCCTCTACTTCATCTTATTCTTCGCTGCTCTTATTCCTCATGTTTTGCTTTTTTCTCCTTTCTTGCCTTTTTCTTTTCTTCATTGTCTGGTGTTGTGCTTCCTGTCTTTTCTGTCCGTCGACTTGCTCTCCCCTCCTCTTTTTGTATTTTCTTGCCTCCTCTCCCTTTTCCAGTCTTCTTCTTCCTCCCCCTCCTTTTCCCTCCTCTTCATTATGCTTCTTGGCCTCCACATTCTCTCTGTCTCTCTCTCACACACATACACACACACACACACACACAAACACACACTATTACTCATAACACTCCCTCTCTCCAGTGAGTTGCTGCTATAATTAGAGCATCGAGCTGTGTTTAAGCGCTAACGGGCTGTGTGTGTGAGTTGACAGATGACACACCGTTTGCTGTCAGATAATCCATAGTCACTACTGTAACACACCTGGGTCAGTTATAACAACAGAGGCCAGGCGGCTCCTTCCACGGCAGTGGTGTTCAGTCACATTGACAGAATCAAGGAATTGGTAGCCAAAGGAGGAGTCAGTGATGTGATTGGACAGTCCCAGATGATTGACAGGTGTGTGTGTGTGTGTGTGTGTGTGTGTGTGTGTCTTCAGGCAGATGAAGGTCCACCTACAGACATTGAGGGAGAAGTCTGAGGTGGAGAAGATGACGCCCAGAGAGAAAATGAGGCTCCGCAAACTGCAGGCTGCCGATGAGAAGGCCAGGAGACACCGGTAATGCACACATGTATATAGACATACACAGAGATACTGTACAAACATATACAGAGACACATACATGCATTTTTTGACTTTACTGTTCCGGAAACTGAGGCAGACAGAGGGCGAGACCTGAAGCAAATCAAACCACTGTTGTGCACACAATGTGCACATGTACACTGTGTGCCACTGGAACCACCTGGTTGGCCTTTAATGGATACAGTTGCCATTTTTGTCCAACAGTCTTCACTCAGCAACCCACAGTGACACGTCTTTAGAAATGTTTTGAAACTCAAAAACTGAGCTTTCATCTATAGCAGTATTGGAGCCTTTGCTGTGGCCAGGTGCACCCTCTGTGCCTTAACTCCTGTAACAGCAGCTTGTTGGTTAAATGAGAGCTGGAGTTGGGTGGAGAGTAAACCAGTTGTAGTTGACATGAATCAGCAGATATTCTGTCCAGCCACAGAAAGTGTCAGCAAAGCAGACGTCCCTCTGAGCTGCCGTGTTAAATGAGACTCATCATGGTGAGCGGCTGTTAAGCATGTGTTACTGCTGCTCTGTGGGTAGTAAACACCTCAGAACGAGGCTGACGGAGCCTCATCAGGGCCACACAGAGAACTGATTCAGACAGTAATCACATTAGAGGGCACTTTGGCCATTTCTGTGGGACCTCACATCTGAAACACAACCTGAATGCCTGTCTGTTCAGACAGATTTAAAACAGATGGAGGATTATGGGAAATACTGATGGCTGATAGAGAAAACAAAAGGTGAAATGCAGAAACTGTGGACAAGCCTCCAGGATGCTCTCATGGCTAACAGGGCTGCTCGCCTCCATCACTGCATCCCGCCTCCATGTGTCAGTGCTGTTTTGAGGAAATAACTGGCTGCAGCAATCACTCACGACCCGCAGCATCTCAACCGTCCTGTAATGCCCAGAAATAATTAACAGTTAAACACGTGTCACAGTTTTTCTGGTTTTCCCACCGTTCTTTGTGCGTCTGGAAATAAAGCAGCATTTTTACTCTGTTTGTTACAGTTTGTTCCTCCTTGTGACCAAAAGTACAAAACAAAAACCTTGTGTAGAACATTGCAGTGATGTCAGGGTATCAGCGCAGGAGCAGAAATAAACCGATGGTGGGGCACCGAACAGGTTTCCATATGACAGAATCCAACAGGTTTATCACTGTGTATTTGTTGCAGTGCACGTCACTAAAGGTTACAAACAAATCACTGCACATGTGGCACATACGCTCTGCTGCAGCATCACCATCACCAGAGCCACTGCAGCTTTTCTGTTCACAGTCAAACGAACATCTCTCACTGTGCTCATACAAATCACTCTTAAACTTTTACCACTTTTACCAGGTGCAAAAGTCACATTTTACAGGAGATTCACCTTCAGAAAATGGCAAAGTCTTCAGGCGGGTGTGTCCACACTGTTATGACCAAGGCTTCATGCTGCACCTTCAGGGACAGCATTAATCAAAACGGCAGTGTTTTTCTGACTCAGCTACAAAGCAACTGTGGACCTGAACCCTTTGTACAGACTTGGTGGATGGTGGAGAGTCAGTATTTCTGAAACGCATGTGTGCTTCTCAGTGCCACGCTCCAAAGTGATGCCTCGTGTTTCTGTCACTACAGGAAACTGGCTGAGCAGAAGTACAGAGAGGTCCACACCCGCAGGAGAGAGCTGAGGAGCCTCCACTTTGAAAACGTCAGCCTGGATGTTCTGAATGTAAGAATCGGTGACCCCGCTGAGTTGAAAAGCAGTTCAACATTTCAGTCATGTTGGATTTACCTGGCAGAGCACACGCTGCTGCTGCCGTGGGTACCTGTTAATCCTCTTACAGGGTTCATTAACCAATGCCGCCTCACCAGCTGAAACCTGAGTCTGTGGATGTTGAGACAAACTCCACTGAGTTTCATTTCGTCTTCTGCTCTGACCAATAGGAGAGCAGAGAAGACAGAGGCTGCGCCAGCCAATCAGCAGCCAGGATTACCACTCAGCAGGGGGGTCGCAGCCAATCAGGAAGCAGGATGAGTCGGACACAGAGCTGCATGGTGAGAAACCATCAGCTTCATTATAGAAAGACAGATACTTTATTGATCCTGAGGGAAATTCAGATGTCCACTCCGAATGTCTCCATGCACGCTGTGCACATGAAGTAGAAACTGTCAACACTTGATTTTTATTCTCAGATTTCTATATTTTTTAACTTTAAGCTGGAGATGTGGTGTAAAATGATAAATAGGCCTGTATACAGTAGCACCTTCATCCTCTCAGCTGTAGGGTGTGGCCCCCTGACAAGGGGCCACTGCAGAGATGTAGACTAGGTCCTCTTTGTTGGTCTCATGGTGGAGCTGCCGGTCCAGTTCATGATTCAGTTTCCTTCATGCTGAAGCCTGTGAAGGGAACACAGATCAGTTCCTTAAAGTAAATCACTGCAGCTGCATCAGTCTGGAGGTAGGATTTGGGGTTAATATTACTTTCCATGTACTCTGACCCTAGAAAAACTGAGGAAACTAATGAGATTTACAGCTGCTCTGAAAAGCTCTCCGGAGATTTCTGCATTCAAGCAACTTAATCGAGTGTGCATCTAGAAAATGCTCCGGGAGCTGTCGGGTATTAGAGAAGCCATAAGCCTTAATCTCATTAAAATTAGTGTCAGTTCTGATAGAAGGTTTGAACCAGAGCAAGGACTTCCAGTACTTCTTGTTATCATCCTGAGCCCGTCGTCCTCTCTGATGTTTCACTTGTGAGGAGAAGTGAGCCCAGTCGGAGCAGAGCAGTCGGAAAACCTGTTTCAATTTGGGAGAATTCAGGAGTCACTCCTGGGTTTTAGGGATTTGACATGAGTATGTCATTGTGGTTGGATCAGTTTTAGCCACTAACCTTTGTTGCACAATAAAGTCCAACATATAGTTAAGAAACAGGCCCAGTGCTGAGTACAGAGCAAACTCAGCTGCTTGTCTTGGTGGCCTCGTTGTTACAGTGAGGGCTGCAACATGGACTCACAATTCAACATGTTACTGAAGTAAAAGTACAGAAGTATCAGCATCCAAATATCCCTTGAATCTGTAATAAAGTTTTTGAATTGAGTTGAATACGGAACTACCAGAGTACCAGTACTCATCCTGCAGAACGGCCCATATCAAATTAATGTCTCCGATACTACTGGACTGGACTGATACATTACTGTGTTCATCACTTTAATGCTGCAGCTGGTAAAGGTGGAGCTGATGTTAACGACCTTATATACTTATACTGTGAAGTACTTGGAATTCCCACCAGGGATTAGTCTGATGATTCTATTGGGTTTGGTTTGATTCATCTGATTTTGAAAAGGAATTGAAGTTATCAGATACATGTAAAAAGTACAAGGTTTGTCTCTGATATGGAGTGAAGTCACAGTATGAAGGAGCAGGACAGGGAAATACTCAAGTAAAGTATAAATATCTCGAGATTGTACTTCAGCGCTCGGGTAAATGTACTCACTTACTTTCCACTTATTTTGAACAGAATCCATGGTCCTGTTCACAGCGAGATGTGAAGATGCTACAACAGTTTTACAAATACTTTGATATGTGCACATGACCAAAACAGAAGGTTGATTCTGATCTGATTCTGAAAAGGAAGTGAAGTTATCAGATACATGTAGTGAGATTCTACTTGAGTAAATGTAGTGAGTCACACGCCAGCTGTGTCCCCTCTCGCTCAGCTGACGCCTTCCTGTCTACAAAACAGCTGTGAAATTGCATTAGAGAACCTCATGTTTCACTGGGAGTCACCTGGAACCTTGGGGACTCCTGGAGGCCCCGTGAGGCCCCTGGACGCCAGTTTAAGAGCCACTAATCTGATCTCGAACAGGCCTGATTATGAAATGACTCCTTTGAAGCTTGTTGAATCCAAGTGAGGCGTTAAATTTGGAGCTGCAGAGCAGAAGTGCTGCAGCAGGGAATTCAAAAATAAACTGGATGTACAACATGGGTGTGTGATGGGACCAAAAACATCAACACTTTCATGTTTTCCCTTGGATGCAGATGTAATTTAGGTTTTCTGCAGTGAGGGTTTTCAGGCCCTTAAACACAGACACATGGATTCACATCAGGGAAAAAAGGCTGAATTAATTTATTGTTTTTATATTTTTGAACTTCACAGCATCAGAAATCAGGTTGTTCTGGTCCTCTGCCCTGCAGCCGCCAGGGCAAATGCAGTATTCATCTAGTATTCAGTTAGTGTTTGCCCTGAGATGCTGATGCAGTCATCTCTCTGTGGATCAAATTGTGAATAGGTGAATTCCTGTTCAGGATTCGGCTCCAGGTTCGACTCAGCTCGTCTGAAATCTCTTCCCAGCTGCAGCGGAGATGCCGACTGAAGCTAAGGGAAACAGTGAGCAGCTCTGTGGCTCAGTACTGGGTTTACAGAAGCTTGGTTGCATCAAACTGCTTTGGGACACATGATGAAACTTCATGGGAGCGTTTCTGTGGCTCAGACACAAACGCTGAAATAAAAACAAAAAGACACTTTGAGGAGAGATACAGTTTTAACGTCATCATGTGAGAAGTGTTTTCAGCTCCTTCAGTTGCACACCAACTCATTTGGGGAGAGGAGAGGGGAGGAGGTTTGTTAGTATGTGTGTGTTACTGTGCACAAGCCTCATCCAGAGACCAGCAGCACCAGTGAACGTAGTGTCCTCACCGTAATGTGTGTGAGTCCAGACCCTGGTCCAGCTTATCGCTCTGTGCTGTGGACTCCACTGTTGTCCACCAGCTAATAACCCCCAGTGAGCCACACTGCTGCACTGAAGGGCAGGTTTCCTCCTCAGGAAACATGTTTGTTTTTGGCAAACGGCTCTAACGCATTGTTCTATGCAGCGAGGAGCTGGCAAAGCAGCATGAACTGGCCCTTTTGGAGCTATTTTTCTCTGGATGGGGTTTGTGCAAAATAACAACAACAGAAGATCACCAGCATATATACCAGAGGTCTTTTAGTTTTTGTCTCTGAACCTCTGCCATGTCTGCTCCCAGAGCCCCACCTTCTGTGTGATCACAGCCATGTGATTGGCTAAGAGGAAGACCCGTGAATTAAACATCCATGTTTAAAACTCTGAGCTCGTTGGCAGGAGCAGTGATTCTGTCCTGTTCAAAATGACACTTTAAATCCAGTGAGGACCCAGTGAGTCTTTATTTATTACTTTATTCAACAGTTTTTGGACTCTACTGTGTTTGTTCACATATACAGAATAATAGGCAAATAATTAATAACCCACGTGCAGTGTTAATAACAGATGTATAATAATGAATAAGGTAATATAATAAACAACTTATGAATTGTTACATTGAGGTTTTAACTTTTTAGACATATTTGATCCATTCACATTTGCAGCCACATTAACCCAGTTGAACTTAAAAGACATCATTTCTTTCCAGATTCCTCAAACTGAGGTTAGATGTTTCATTGTGTTTGGAGAAAACTGAGCTTTCAGAAGGTAAACTAGTAACTGACTCATGTACCTGTATGTACAGACATCCCAGAGGACCCTCAGGCTGCAGAGGTTTATTACAACCAGGACGGGTTTGACTCCTGCTCAGAAGATGAGGAGACAGAAACACCTGCAGAGACGCAGTCGGACCTGTCAGACCCACAGGTGAGTCTATGTGTGACAATTACAACTCACAGACATGGTACATATTTTTAGATTCACTGTATGAAAATACTGCTATCTCTGATCCAAACAAACCTTCATAAACCAGTTTGAAAATCATACAAAGGATGCTCCTTGTAACAACAGAACTTCACTAAAACTCATCACGTTTTTAAGTTTTCTTCATCATCAAAGTAATTCAGTGAGAACTGTCAGCATATCCACAGCTACACAGCAAATTCAGACTGCCAAGACTGAGTTTGGTGCACTTCATTTTCCAAAATGTAAACAAGAATAAGATAAAACAACAGCGCTGAAGTGCCCATTTTGAAGTCTAAAAACAGGTAACTGTGCTGTCGAGTGAAAAATGGCAGTTTTACCCATTAAAAATTAAATGCACAGCACAAAGTGTGCAACAAGTGAAAGGGTCTGAACACTTTGTTAAGCCACTGTGTTTTCATATCAGACGGTCTGGAAGCTGTCACTCACCAGAGTGGTTCTGTATCTGTTGATGTTTCTGTCAATACACTACTTTGTCCAGCAGATACAGTGCCTTGCGAAAGTATTCGGCGCCCTTGAACTTTGCGACCTTTTGCCACATTTCAGGCTTCAAACATAAAGATATAAAACTGTAATTTTTTGTGAAGAATCAACAACAAGTGGGACACAATCATGAAGTGGAACGAAATTTATTGGATATTTCAAACTTTTTTAACAAATAAAAAACTGAAAAATTGGCCGTGCAAAATTATTCAGCCCCCTTAAGTTAATACTTGGTAGCGCCACCTTTTGCTGCGATTACAGCTGTAAGTCACTTGGGGTATGTCTCTATCAGTTTTGCACATCGAGAGACTGAAATTTTTGCCCATGCCTCCTTGCAAAACAGCTCGAGCTCAGTGAGGTTGGATGGAGAGCATTTGTGAACAGCAGTTTTCAGTTCTTTCCACAGATTCTCGAGTGGATTCAGGTCTGGACTTTGACTTGGCCATTCTAACACCTGGATATGTTTATTTGTGAACCATTCCATTGTAGATTTTGCTTTATGTTTTGGATCATTGTCTTGTTGGAAGACAAATCTCCATCCCAGTCTCAGGTCTTTTGCAGACTCCATCAGGTTTCCTTCCAGAATGGTCCTGTATTTGGCTCCATCCATCTTCCCATCAATTTTAACCATCTTCCCTGTCCCTGCTGAAGAAAAGCAGGCCCAAACCAGGATGCTGCCACCACCATGTTTGACAATGGGGATGGTGTGTTCAGGGTGATGAGCTGTGTTGCTTTTACGCCAAACATAACGTTTTGCATTGTTGCCAAAAAGTTCGATTTTGGTTTCATCTGACCAGAGCACCTTCTTCCACATGTTTGGTGTGTCTCCCAGGTGGCTTGTGGCAAACTTTAAACGACACTTTTTATGGATATCTTTAAGAAATGGCTTTCTTCTTGCCACTCTTCCATAAAGGCCAGATTTGTGCAGTATACGACTGATTGTTGTCCTATGGACAGAGTCTCCCACCTCAGCTGTAGATCTCTGCAGTTCATCCAGAGTGATCATGGGCCTCTTGGCTGCATCTCTGATCAGTCTTCTCCTTGTATGAGCTGAAAGTTTAGAGGGACGGCCAGGTCTTGGTAGATTTGCAGTGGTCTGATACTCCTTCCATTTCAATATTATCACTTGCACAGTGCTCCTTGAGATGTTTAAAGCTTGGGAAATCTTTTTGTATCCAAATCCGGCTTTAAACTTCTCCACAACAGTATCTCGGACCTGCCTGGTGTGTTCCTTGTTCTTCATGATGCTCTCTGCGCTTTAAACAGACCTCTGAGACTATCACAGTGCAGGTGCATTTATACGGAGACTTGATTACACACAGGTGGATTCTATTTATCATCATTAGTCATTTAGGTCAACATTGGATCATTCAGAGATCCTCACTGAACTTCTGGAGAGAGTTTGCTGCACTGAAAGTAAAGGGGCTGAATAATTTTGCACGCCCAATTATTCAGTTTTTTATTTGTTAAAAAAGTTTGAAATATCCAATAAATTTCGTTCCACTTCAAGCGGAAGGTCACGGGCAGACAGCCAGACCTTCTGGACGGGTTGGTATGTGGGCGCCCGGGACCGATGGATGTTGGCCCACTTCTCGTAGGACCGGACAGAGCAGAGCAAGACCAGGCGGGCCCTTGCCAGGCCCGATGACATCGACGGACCAAGGCCGAAGCCGATGGTACTCGGATCTCCGGATCCAGACTGGGGAACAAGGGAGGTGAGTAGCCGTACACACATTCAAATGGGGGCATGCCAGTGGCTGTAGAGGGAAGGGAGTTGTGTGACTACTCCACCCAGGTGACATTCTCAGCCCAGAGTGAAGGGTCCCTGTGGCACAGGAGACGCAGGCCTGTCTCCAGCTGCTGATTCAGCTGCTCCGTCTGACCGTTGGACTGTGGATGAAAGCCCGAAGAGAGACTGACTGATATGCCCAGGAGTCGAGAGAACTTGTTCCAGAAACGGGCCACAAACTGAGGGCCTCTGTCAGACACCACGTCTCTGGGGAGGCCATGCAGGCGAAAAACATGTAGGACCATGAGCTGTGCAGTTTCTTTGGCTGACGGCAGTTTGGGCAAGGGAACGAAGTGGACCATCTTAGAAAAACGGTCGACTATGGTGAGTATAGTAGTGTTGCCCTTAGATGGGGGCAGACCTGTAACAAAGTCCACAGAGATGTGGGTCCACGGCCTAGAGGGCACAGAAAGGGGACATAGCAGTCCCGCGGGTCTGTTGGTGGGTGTTTTGTTCCTGGAACAGTCCGGGCAAGCAGCCACGAAGCTGCGGACATCCTCCCTCAGGGTTGGCCACCAGAACCGTCTCTGCACAGCATAGCAGGTCCGTGCTATCCCTGGATGGCAAGCGAGCTTGTTGTCATGACACCAGAGCAGGACCTTTGTGCGAAGTAAAGCGGGGACAAACAGACGATTTGGTGGACAGGTGGAGGGACCTGGTTCTGACTCCTGGGCGTCGATGATCTCCTGTTCAATGCTGAGGTGGGCAGCTCCGACCCGGGCAGACTGGGGCAGGATGTATGCTGGTTCTGTGCACTCCTCCTCCCTGGAGAACTGACGAGAAAGGGCATCTGCTTTGCCGTTACGGCGACCTGGGCGAAAAGAGAGAGAGAAAGAAAAGCGGTCAAAAAACAGAGACCATCTGGCCTGTCTAGGGTTCAGTCTTTTGGCCGTTTGTAAGTACTCCAAGTTCTTATGGTCAGTCCAGACCAAGAACGGCTGCTTGGCCCCCTCCAGCCAATGTCACCACTCCTCCAAGGCTAACTTTATGGCCAGCAGCTCTCTGTCCCCGATGCTGTA